AAAAAAAAAAAAAAAGAACAGATCCAAAATGTATAAAGAACTTTGAAACCTCAATTAGAAAACAAATAACCCAGTTTTCAAATGGGCAAATGACTTGAACAGACACTTGACCAAAGAAGATGTGTAGATGGCAAGTAAGCACATGAAAAGACTCGACAACAGTAGACAGACGGAAAAACAAGTTAGAACCACAATGGGCCGTCACTACACGCCTGTTAGAAGGGCGAGATTAAACCCCAGCCCCTGACAGAAGCAAGTGCTGGTGAGGGGCTGCCGTGACTCTCGTCCGTTGCTGCTGGGAGTGCGCAGTGCTGTAGCCACTGTGGAGAGCAGTTCAGCAATTTCTTATAAAGTCGAACAAACCCCGTACAACCCAGAAACCCCACTCCTAGGTACTTACCCAAAGAAATGAAAACGAAATTCAAACAGAAACCTGCATGTGAATTCATGTAGAGGGATTCTTTGTGATTGCCCACGTCTGCTGCCTGGTGAGTGGATAAACAACCTGGCACCTCTCTGCTCTGCAGCGCTACTCAGCAATGAAAAGGAATGAACTGGGGACCCACACACAACACGGATGCACCTCACGACATCACACTAATGAAAAACGTCAGACGCAGAAAACTGCAAACCATGTGATTCCATTTATGTGTCATTCTGGAAAAGGCAAAACTGTAGAGACAGAACACAGACCAGTGGTTGCCAGGAGCCGGGGAGGGATTGACTACTAAGGGGCACAGGGAGAGCTGGGGTGGGAGGTGATGGAAACGTTCTGTATCTTGATTGTGGTGGGGGATACACCCTGTATGCATTTGTCAAAGCTTTCAGAAGTTTACACTAAAAAAAAAGAAATGGGAGAGAAATCCCTCAACACAAACGACAGAGAGCATTACGATCTTGCATGCTTCAGACATTATATGATCAGACATTGAAAATAAAATAAGCACACTTAATACTTTGAAAAATATCACAAAGGAATAAGATCAAGTAGAATTGAAATGAAGGACTTCCCTGGTGGCGCAGTGGTTAAGAATCTGCCTGCCAATGCAGGGGACATGGGTTCGTAGACCTGGTCCGGGAAGATCCCACATGCCGCGGAGCAACTAAGCCCATGAGCCACAACTAGTGAGCCTGTGCTCTAGAGCCTGTGCTCTGCAACAAGAGAAGCCACCGCAATGAGATGCCCGCGCACCACAGCAAAGAGTAGCCCCGCTCGCCACAACTAAAGAAAGCCCGCGCGCAGCAACGAAGACCCAACACAACCAAAAATAAATAAGTTTATTCTTTTAAAAAAAATAAACAAAATGAACCAAATAAAACTTCTAGCAGTAAGAATATGATCACTGAAAACAAACAAAACCCCAATCACTGGGCTAAACTGTGGATTAGACACTGCTGAAGAGACAATTAGGGAACTAGAAGATAGAGATGGAAACATGAAAGAAGCAGTACAACATGTGTACTGTTGAGGATGAGTAAGGAGCGACTTGTCCGTTGGAATCAGGAAAAGACAGTATTTAAAGAGCTACTTGCTGAGAATGTTCTAAAATGTCAAAATGCCTCTAACTCCAGGAAGTGAGTGGACGCATGGAGCAGATACACTGCACACATAATTAATGAAAGTCTTCCTAATCGTTAACAAGCCTGATTCTAGAATTAGTGGAAGCACACCGTATTCCCAGCAAACTGACCAACACGATTCCACCCTGGGTCACCAAGTGACCCCAGCCAGCATCCATGCAAGATGAAGCAGCTGACCCCAGGGTCTGGCCTGGACTCAGGGCATAGGGAAGGACCCCGTGGGCCCAGGTCTGGGCTCTCACCAAGGTAACTCCTGAAGCAGACAAGGACGTAAACAGTGGGGTGGTGGGAGCCAGCTGGCCCACTCGCCCCCACCCAACCTGGTGACAGTCATAGCTGCTGGCTGCATGGGAAGTCTGCCACATTGGAGGAGCCAGAACTGGGGGCCTCTGCCTTTACAACCCCAGGCCCCAGAAATGGTGCATACCGCCCTGTGGTGGCCTGGGGCAGGCCGCAGCAGTGCACCTGGGGTCTCCACAGGGCCAGCCTGGCAGCCCAGCTGGGGAAGGACTCAGAAAGGACGCTGACCTTCACCTCTCCTATCAAACTGGGTCTGTTCACTTGCAAAGTCAACAGGAAGACCTTCTCAGTTGAGAGGAAACAGGGTCTACCCTTCCTGATGGATGGCCTGCCATTCTTGGGGTGCCCCCCCAAATCCCGAGGGGCGGGCCGGGATCCATGGCCCACCAGTGGGGAAGAGATGTTCAAAACATGCAGGCAACGTGCACACAGACAAGGCCAAATGAGTGTGAAAATGAGGCTGCGAACATGTTATTATCATCTGAAAGTGGACATTGTGTTACATTTCCAGAGCTCAGCAGCCTCTCGGGCTCCGGTGGGTCCCTGGGAAATGGCTGACCCCCTCCCCACGCCCCACCCTGGCCCAGCCCTGACACAGCACCCTGCTGTTTCCTCCTCTTCATACAAACCCCCTTGAGCCCACTTTCCACTCCTCCTGCTTTGAAGTGAAGCCCCAGATGGTCTACTTCTCGGCTGTCCCCTCTCCAATGCGCTGCTCTCAGGCCAATGCACCCACCGGGCCGCCCTGGGGCCAGCATCCTTCACCCACCCCCTTCCCTGCGCTGGGGCTTTGGGCAACTAGGGACCCTCTCCCACCCCAGCCTCCTGCTCCAGAGGTCGCAGTGCCCACTGTCCAAGTCCACCTGAGAAGCCCCAGGCCTGGGGCTTGAGCTGGGAGTTCCCGAGGTCCCTGACCAGGAGATGGCCACGGGGGGAGGGGGTCTGCGGGGGCACATCCATGCAAACCTGGGGCCACAGTGATAGCCTTCTGTGGCCCCTAGCCCTGGGAAAGGGTGGGGTTGCTGGAGATGGTATTGTCAGGAGGAGCTGTCTGCGCAGGAGGGCTGGGGTGGCCCCCACGAGCCCCAGAACAGCACCTGGTCTGGGAGAGGGAGGGGGCCGGATGGTGCCCTAGCGCCCCAGCTCCCCCTCGGGCCTCACGGCCCCGGGAGGCCAGGTTGGGGGTGGCCACGCCTCGGGTGTGGCAGAGCTGCCCAGCCATGCCTGGCCAGCCTCACACCTGGACCCCCTCTCTTCCAGAATCAGAGGGAGTGACCTTGACCACCATCGTGACTGTACCTCCCAACGAGGAACAGACGGAGTTCTCACTGGGAGAGGTCAGGCCCACCTTCTTCCGGCCCCCAGGGTGGTCTGTCCATCTGACCAGAGCCGGACTAGACTAGTCTGGCCGCTGGACTCACCTCCTCTGGGCAGTTAGCTGTCTCAGCCGGTGTCCGGCTGCCCTGTCTCAGGCTGGGGCCGGGCGGGTCCAGAGCCACAGAGGCAGGGCCCTGGGTACCCCTAGTCCAGCTCAGAGGAGACACCAATGCAGGGCCTTCCCAGCCAGAGCGTGGGGGCTGTGCATGTGTGTGCAAGGACCGTGTCATCAGGAGAGCGAGTGCACACATGGGGGCTGCCACCACTCGCCCCCGCAGTGACCCGGCTGTAGTGAGGCCACGGGAGACACCATGACGGGAACGTGAAGGCTGAGCGGCCCTGCCCACCTCTCTTGCCGTGCAGATAACAGAGGGGGAGATTGGCCCCTTCAGCACCATCAAAGTGCCCGTCATCTTCACCCCGATTGTCCCGGGAACGGTCTCCACCAGGTTCAAGGTCGTGTTTAAGAATCAGCAGTGCCCGACCGTGAGTACCCTGCTGCTCCCTGGGCACGGGGTCCCCGCCCTCTGCGCTCCCTCCACCACGACCACGTGAGGCTGCTGCCCGCACTGCCCGCGCTTGCATGGCTAGTCAGTGGCACACATGGCTGGCAACATAGCCAACACATTCACACCTGTGAACACACATGCACACACACACACGCACACACACCTTGCACTTAATCACTAGGGATGTCTTTCTTAATTTCCCAGTAGTTAAAATTTGTCATCATTACTTTTTAGATTTGTTGTAAGTTTATTAAGTTGAATTATGCTCAGACAATATAACCGGCTAAGTCTTTTTTTTAATTTGTTAGTTTTCTTTGTGACCAAAGGCAAGATTGATTTTATACGTATGAAATGTGCATATGAAGAAAGTGTATTTAATGTCTGTAAACAGATTTATTAGCTGGATTATTCACATTATTCATACCCCTCCGTGGGTTTTTTTTTTTTCAAGTCATTTGCCAATTTTTCTATTGTATTTTGTTTCTTACTAGGATTTTGAGTTTGTGGAGGTATTTTTTTTAGTTACAGGTGTACAGCATAGTGATTCAAAAATTCTATAGATTATATTCCATTTAAAGCCATTATAGGGAACTCCCCGGTGGTCCAGTGGTTACGACTCAGCACTTTCACTGCTGTGGGCCCGGGTTCAATCCCTGGTCGGGGAACTAAGATCCCCCAAGCCATGCAGTGCAGCCAAAAAAAAAAAAAAGTTATGCAATTCAGTTATAGTCCCCGTGCTGTCCCGTATATCCTTGCAGCTTATCTATGTTTTAAAATATTTATTTATTATTTATTTGGCTGCGCCGGGTCTTAGTTGTGCCATGCAGGATCTTTTAGTTGCAGCATGCGGGATCTAGTTCTCAGACCAGGGATCGAATCTGGGCCCCCTGCATTGGGAGTGCAGAGTCTTAGCCACTGGACCACCAGGGAAGTCCCTGTAGCTTATCTATTTTATACATAGTAGTTTGTGTCCCTTAATCCTGTACCCCTATCTTGCCCCTCCCCTGACCCTTCTCCCCACTGGTACCCACTAGTTTGTCCTCTATATCTGTGTGTCTGTTTCTGTTTTGTTATATTCATTCAGTTGTTTTATTTTCTAGATTCCACATATAAGTGATAACATACAGTGTTTGTCTTTCTCTGTCTGACTTACTTCACTAAGCATGATACCCTCTAGGTCCGTCCATGTGGCTGCAAACGTCAGGGTTTCATTCTTTTCATGGCTGAGTAGTATTCTGTTGTATATATGCACCATGTCTTCTTCATCCATTCCTCTGTTGATGGACACCTAGGTTGCTCCCATATCTTAGCTATTGTAAGTAATGCTGCCATGAACACTGGGGTGCATGTATCTTTTCAAATTAGTGTTTTTGTTTCTTGCAGGTGTATACCCAAGAGTGGAGTTGCTGGGTCATACGGTGGTTATATTTTTAGCTTTCTGAGGAATTTCCACTCTGTTTTACACAGTGATTGCGCTAGTTTACATTCCCACCAGCAGTGCACGAGGGCTCCCTTTTCTCCACATCCTCTCCAACGCTTGTTATTTGTAGACTTTTTGATGAAAGCCATTCTGACAGGTGTGAGGTGATATCTCATTGTGGCTTTGATTTGGATTTCCCTGATAGTTGTCAATGCTGAGAATCTTTTTATGTGCCTGTTGACCATGTGCATGTCCTCTTTGGAAAAATGTCTATTCAGGTCTTCTACTCATTTTTTTTTTAACTTGTTTATTTTTTATTTTATTGGCCATGCCACACAGCATGTGGGATCTTAGTTCCCTGACCAGGGATCAAACCCGGGCTCCCTGCAGTGGAAGCGTGGATTCCTAACCACTGGACCACCAGGGAATTCCCTTCTGCTCATTTTTTAATTAGGTCGTTTGTTTTTTGATATTGGGTTGTATGAGCTGTCATATATATTTTGGATATTAATCCCTTATCATTCATATCATTTGCAAATATTTTCTCCCATTCAGTAGGTTGTCTTTTCAATTTTGTCAGTGGTTTCTTTCACTGCACAAAAGCTTTTATGTTTAATTAGGTCCCATTTGTTTATTTTTGCTTTTGTTTCCTTTGCCTTGGGAGACAGATTCCAAAAAATACTGCTACAATTTATGTCAAAGAGTGTTCTGCCTACATTTTCTTCTAAGAGTTTTATAGCTTCCGGTCTTACATTTAGGTCTTCAATACATTTTGAGTGTATTTTTGTGTATGGTGTTAGAGAATGTTCTAATTTCATTCTTTTACATGTAACTGTCCAGTTTTCCCAGCACCACTTGTTGAAGAGATTGTCTTTTCTCCATTGTATGTTCTTTCATCCTTTGTCATAGATTAGGTGACCATAAGTGCATGGGTTTATCTCTGGGCTCTCTTTCCTGTTTCATTGATCTATGTGTCTCTTTTTGTGCCAGTACCATGCAGTTTTGATGCTTGTAGCTTTGCAGTATAGTCTGGAGTTCAGGGAGGATGATTACCCCAGCTTTGTTCTTCTTTGTCAAGATGCTTTGGCTTCCCTCCATGTTCCTTCCACACATCTATCTTCCCTTATGACCCGATCTTTGACAAGTTCTCCTTACACTTTTTTTTTTAACATCTTTATTGGAGTATAACTGCTCAGTTATATTGGAGTATAACTGCTCAGTATAACACAGTACAATGGTGTGTTAGTTTCTGCTTTATAACAAAGTGAATCAGCTATACGTACACATATATCCCCATATCTCCTCCCTCTTGTGTCTCCCTCCCACCCTCCCTATCCCACCCCTCTAGGTAGTCACAAAGCACCGAACTGATCTCCCTGTGCTATGCGGCTGCTTCCCACTAGCTATCTATTTTACATTTGGTAGTGTGTATATGTCCATGCTACTCTCTCACTTCGTCCCAGCTTACCCTTCCCTCTCACCGTGTCCTCAGGTCCATTCTCTATGTCTGCGTCTTTATTCCTATCCTGCCCCTAGGTTCTTCAGAACCATTTTCTTTTTTTTTTTAGATTCCATATATATGTGTTAGCATACGGCATTTGTTTTTCTCTTTCTGACTTACTTCACTCTGTATGACAGTCTCTAGGTCCATCCACCTCACTATAAATAACTCAGTTTCTTTTTTTTATGGCTGAGTAATATTCCACTGTATATATGTGCCACATCTTCTTTATCCATTCATCTGTCGATGGACACTTAGGTTGCTTCCATGTCCTGGCTATTGTAAATAGAGCTGCAATGAACGTTGGGGTACATGACTCTTTTTGAATTATGGTTTTCTCAGGGTATATGCCCAGTAGTGGGATTGCTGGGTCGTATGGTAATTTTATTTTTATTTTTTTAAGGAACCTCCATACTGTTCTCCATAGTGGCTGTATCAATTTACATTCCCACCAACAGTGCAAGAGGGCTCTGTTCGGCTGCTTTATTGTTTCATGCATGAGGGTTTATAGTTGTTTTCTTATCGTGAATTGTGCCTTTCACCAGAACCAAACATCCCCCTTCATCCTGCTGCTCATGGTACCTCTATATCCAGCTGATCCCACAATAACGACAGGGCCACTCCTGCTTTCCTCTGCTTCACCTTCACCTCATATCCCTTTGTCCTCCCCCCCGCCCGGCCGATATTTATCCTTTTTTAATGACTTCGTGTGTCTTTTAAGGAGCCAGGTTTTGTCTGTGGACCCAGACTAATGTTGTCTGCCTTTAGGGGGAGAATCCAGTGCATTTGCAGCATAATATTGACCCTTTGTTTTACTACTTCCATTAGTTTTGTCTACTATTCATTTTATCATATGGTTTCCTCACTTTCAGTTTTCTTGTTTTCATTGGTTTGATCAAGTTGCTACTTATTCCTTTTTTCCCTGTTATTTGGAAATTCTACTTTCATTCAATGAACAGTCCCCTCCCCTTTCCCAGCCCTTAAATCCCACATGACTTTCTATTTCTTTTTTTTTTTTTTTAAATTTTTTTTTTTTTTTTTTGGCTGCATTGGGTCTTTGTTGCTATGCGTGGGCTTTCTCTATTGTGGCGAGCGGGGGCTACTCTTCATTGTGGTGCGTGGGCGTCTCATTGCAGTGGCTTCTCTTGTTGCGGAGCACAGGCTCTAGGCATGCAGGCTTCAGCAGTTGTGGCACACAGGCTCAGTAGCTGTGGCTCGCAGGCTCTAGAGCGCAGGCTCAGTAGTTGTGGCACACGGGCTTAGTTGATCCATGGCATGTGGGATCTTCCCAGACCAGGGCTCAAACCCACGTCCCCTACAGGCAGGCAAATTCTTAACCCCTGTGCCAGCAGGGAAGCCCCGAATTTCTATTTCTTAAGTGCAAGAGGACACTCCTCCAAGACGGTTGGTACCCCAGCAGTTCACTCCACCACCACTTCCTTATGACCAAAATAAAACATGATTTGGGGTCCCTTTTATTTACCCTCTTTCTTGGCCCTCAATGTCTCGGTTTCACTTAACTGTCATTAGAATTATTAGCATCTCCTCCGACTCTGCCCCCACTGCTTCAGGAGTTCTGACCCAACACCGTGGTCCACGATTCCAGGCAGGTGGCCATGTCCAGGTGTGACCATTTGATGATCCTGTGCTCACCACGCTCTCCTCTCCCCTCGCCATCAGGAGTCTCTGCTCTGGTGTGTTTCCCATATAGGAATGAGTCTGTCAGGGGCCAGGGATTTGAGACACAATATTTATTTATTTGTAACGGAAACCCCAAGGAATAGGCCATACCCTACAATCCCCCACAGTGTACCATAATACTCACACTGTTCCCACACGTCCACAGTAACCATGGAGTCCCACAGTTCCCCGCGGTAGCCCCATAGGTCCCCACAGAGCCCCTGCTGTGGTGTCAGGAAGGAACAGGGACCAGACCTGGGTAACTGAGCACTTGGAGAGGATGGCCTGGCTGGGGCTGTGACCTCAGGTCAAGGATACTCCAGCCCACGGGGGCCCTGCCAGACGAGCCGGGGCAGTGAACACCCTGACCACTCTCCTACCCCACCTCCTCACCTGGGGGTGGTACACACGCAGCCCCTGGGGCGGCTCCCGGCCTCCAGGGGTGAATGGGATCTGGATTCCCACTCTGCCCGCCTGCTTTCCTGAGATGGGTCCCTCGTGACAGGTGCTGGGTTCTGCCGGCCTGTGAAACCCCTCCCGTCCAGGGGTGTGAGGACGCTGCCCACGGTCTCCGCGTGAGGATGGCCCCAGCGCAGACTGGCCCTTCGTTTCCGTGTCTGTGCCTTTCTCACCCTCCCTGGCTAGCTCCTCTGTAGACGGGGCCTTCCTGTGCCGACCACCCCATCTGCTTCACGGACGCCTGTCCCCCGACCTCGTGTGTCACGTGTCACCGCATGTGTCCGCCTGCTCGCCTGGCCCTGATTCAGGTGCCGGCGGGACCAGCCTCTTTGTGACCTGCCTGGCCGTGCAGTCAGGACGCTGCTCCGGGCCTCAGCGCCTCTCGGCAGCAGCCCCCGCCCGCCCCCCTTGGTGGATCAGCGTTCACCTGCTGTCACCACTGCCTTTGAGTGAGGTGGCCGTGCTTCTCCTCAAATCCCCTCCTGAGTCTCCCAGCTGCTCCATTTCTCTGGACGTGCTTTCTTTTTATTCTGTCCATCTTGTCTCTGGCCCTGGAAATGGGTTGTATGTTTCAGTGACCCTGTGGCCTCGGATCCGGCGCTGGTGTGTTCTAAGGTCACGGTCCTGCAGGTGGTAGAAAGGGAAGCCCTCCACCCAGTTGTGTGGGCTGGTGGTCACTGTTCCTGCCTGAGGGGGGCTGCTGTGCACAGGCTCTCTCTGCAGGACATCCTGGTCTGACTGCAGGAAGCCGACACCAGGGTCCGAGGTGGGGAGAAGCACGTGCCTCCTGGGCCCTTCGCGAGCCCTGAGCTTCCGTTTGTATCAGCTGCGTGTACTGCCTGTGTGATGCATGAGTCTGCAGTAAAACGGCTGTTGGTTTTTTTCGATAAATTTATTTATTTATTTGTTTGTTTTATTTTTGGCCGTATTGAGTCTTCGTTGCTGCACGCGGCTTCCTCTAGTTGTGGCGAGCGGGGGCTACTCTTCATTGCGGTGCGCGGGCTTCTCCTTGCGGTGGCTTCTCTTGTTGCGGAGCACAGGCTCTAGGCGTGAGGGCTTCAGTAGTTGTGGCACACAGGCTCAGTAGTTGTGGCTCGCAGACCCTAGAGCACAGGCTCAGTATTTGTGGCGCACGGGCTTAGTTGCTCCGTGGCATGTGGGATCTTCCCGGACCAGGGCTCGAACCCGTGTCCCGTGCATTGGCAGGCGGACTCTTAACCACTGAACCACCAGGGAAGCCCGGGTTTTTTTAAACAGCTAAAAATGTTGATATTTATGAAGCTGCGTGGTGGGTACATGACCATCCATCGTACCATTCTATCTTTTTATGTTTAAAAATTTTGAAAATAAAAAGGATTGTTTAAATTATATGATATAAAAAGTGCCATAGATCTCCAAAACATGGCCAGTTTAATTATTAACCTTCCAGTTTTTGTAAGAGTCACAAAACACTGCCGCTGAGCTCTGCGTTAGTACTCACGGTCACCGCCTGCTCTGCTGATGGAAATACGTGCTGTCGGATTTTCATGTTCAAATTCAGTTATATTTCAAAGTCGTCGGTGTTGCTATCGACGTGCCAGTCTGGGTGCCAAAGCCCAACGTAGACCTGAAGATCTGCATGTACGACCGGCTGTATCAGGACTCCATCCTCGTCCACACACGGTGAGCCCTCGGCGGGGGTGAGGTCACGGACCTCGGGGTGGGGGTCACCTGGGGTTACCCCGAGGGCCCACTGGAATCCCAGGGCTGTCACAGGAGGGAGGCTGGAGGGCCAGAGTCAGACAGAGGTTGGCAGATGCTAGGCTGCTGGCCTTGAAGATGGGACAGGGGCCACGAGCCAAGGGACACGGTGCCTCCAGAAGCTGGAAAAGCCAGGAAACGATTCCCCACGGAGCCTCTCAGGGGACCAGCCCTGACCGCAGCTGGGCTTCCGCCCCGGGAGACTGTGTCCGGTTCTGACCTTCAGAACCGTGAGAGTAAGTCAGTGTTGTCACCCCTGCGTCTCTGGGGAGCTCGCCCCCAACATGGCCAGGCCAGGCCCCTCTCAGACACAGACAGGGAAGGAGGCATGTCCTCTGAAGGACCATGGACGGAGCCCCAAGACAAGAAGCATGTTTCACTCGCAGTGTTTTGCAAGGGCGTCCGGACACCACTGTTGTCATTTCTTTTTTACGCTCTTTTTAATTTTTAGTGAAATTCAATTACATGGAGAAAAGCAGGCAAATTCTACAGTTAGAGCTTAATGGGTTTTCATTAACCAAACACACCTGCGTACCTGGCAGGCTGCTGACACACGGGGCCCCGCTTCCAGCCTGGGGGCGGGGTGGGGGGGCGATGGGCGGCCTGGGTGGAAACGGACTGGCACGTGCGCCAGCCGCTGGGTCCCTGGGCCTCAGCACTGCAAACGTCAGGGGGCCTGTTCTCACCGGGGAGCTGGGAACTCGGGACAGGACTCAGGTGGATTTGTTCAGGAAACTAGGTTTTGCAGGGCTCTGGTCAGTTTACCTCGGGACACAGAGCGTGTCCACTCCTGGGCAGGGTGGTGACGGGGAGCCGGGGGGTGGGGGGAGTTGTGCTTTCTCAGCCCCTCCCCAAGCCACAGGCTCGACGTCGTACATTTGTTGAGTGATTTTATTATATTTTTTTAAAGACTTTTTTTAACGTGGACCATTTTTAAAGTCTTTATTGAATTTGTTACAATATTGCTTCTGTTTAATGTTTTGGTTTTTTGGCCGCGAGGCACGTGGGATCCTAGCTCCCCGACCAGGGATCAGACCCGCACCCCTTGCACTGGAAGGCGAAGTCTTAACCACTGGACCACCAGGGAAGTCCCTGTTGAGTAATTTTAGAATTCAGCATTACTCACTTGTTTAATTTACCGGGTTTACGGACACAGGTGTAGCAAAGGAGCTCGTTCGCAATGACCCTGGTCACATTAACAGCTGCTCAAGGAGGAGCCCAGCCAGCACGGGAACCTGGGCGGGGCTGCTGCCTGCTGAGGGCGGGAGGGCCAGTCTGGGCACATTCCATGGCAGGGGACACCCAGTGCTGGGTGACACTGGGGCCAGAGGTCACTGAGGGGAGGGGCTTGGTGACACTGGAGGTCAGAGGTCAAAGGGGCCCCCTTTTACTCCTCCTAGGCCAGGAGCACCCAGGAGCCCGTGGATCTCCCAGGGGTCCCTGTCTGGCTGTGGGCTCTCCTTGCAGAGGGGCTCAGCCCTCAGGGTGAGGCCCCAGCAGCCACGAGGCAGGCAACAATCGCCCCAGGCAGTTAAGAAGGGGCTGGAAGGCCTGGGAGGCTCTGGACCATGGCTCAGGGTTCCCGGGCAGCCCAGGAAGGCCTGGGGCAGCTTGCCCATCACCTTTCTTCCTGGAGACTGGAAGGCAGGAGGGGAGGGGCAGCGCACCGATGGGGGCTGTGGCCTGGGGTGGCTAGGATGGGGCGCCCCACGTGGCTGGTTGGGGGCACATCTGGCTTCTCTGGCTGGCCCTGAGTTGAAAACAGGGACAAAAATTGGGGAAACTGCGGTCACTGGCCAAGGCCTGGCCGTCTGGGGACCTCCCGAGCGTCCTGCAGGGCTCGTGCTGGCACGTGCCCACGCCTGGACGGGGAGGGCAAAACTCTGGGAGGGCCGGCGCCCACCCCCCAGGTCCCTGCACCCAGCACCTGCCCGGCGAGGGTCTTCCCAGAAAACACTAGGTTTCTGAGAACCGACTGGGCGCCTTTCAGTTGCGATGTTTTTATTTGTAAGGATTCCTCAGCAGATGTCACTTCAGGAAAACCTGCCCTTGGCGAGCAGGGCTCTGAAGACTCTCCGACAGTAGGGGGTGGGGGGCATCTGGGAGGGTGTGCCCTGGGCCCTGGGGGGTGGGTACAGGCCGACCCGCAGGGACCAAACGCGGCGTCGCCTGCCCGGCCCTCGGGCGCTGCAGGTCAAAGGCGGCCCTGCGCCTGAACTTCGAGGTGTGCAAGGGGCTGCAGGGCCACCTGGAGCTCCTGCCCAAGACCGGCTGCATCCAGGCCCTGTCGTCCTACTCGGTGCGGCTCAAGTTCCTGCCCAGGTGCGTGGCGCAGCGGGGTCCCTCCACCCGGGGGTGGGGGGGACTCTAGATGAGAGCCGGAAGTTGGCTCGACGCCCACATCGTGGCTCCTGTGTTTCTTACCTTTTATGTAATTTCTAGCTCTCGTCTGACTTCAAAACACACTCATAGTTCAGCATTTTGTCATTTCGCAAATATAAAGAAGAAAAGAACATTCAAGTGCCTCCTGTCTCTTTCAGACGCTCCCTCCCAGAAGATGCCGGGAAGTATTTTGACAAGGAAAGCAGAGTCCTGGAGGCCCCGATGACTATCCGGGTGGCTGACCAGGTCTGTGTGGGGCACTTCTGGGAGCGCGGGCGCCCTTGGGGAGCAGAGGGCACGGGGGAGACGGAGGGAGCGTCTTTGTGGATCGGAGAGAGGCCCCAAGTGCTGTCCAGGGCCGGCAGGGCTGTCCCCGGGGCACCCAAACACACACATGTGTACAGTCCGCCCCACACTCAGATCCAGGTGCCCAGGAGTGCGCACATCCTCCGTACACACGCCACATGTGAGCACACAGTGCACCGCACACGTAGACGCACAGGTGCACACATGTGTGCACACACGCACTCCTGCACCCGCCCGCCCGTGCTGCCCGTCCCAAGCCAGGGGCCAACAGGGAAGGGGTTGTGTCCCTGAAAGGTGCACCGTCGGCCATCAGCTCACAGCCAGGATGGTGCTGTTCTCATTTTTGGAAACACTTGTGTAAACTGACCTCGGTGACCGGATGCGCTTGCCCTCCGCACTTCAGATCAAACCCGTGGGGTTTACTGTCCACGCCATAGTCACCACCTCGGACCTGGAGCTCAGCCCCTCGGGGGTGGACTTCGGCTACTGCACCATTTACGAGGCCATCAGGACCCAAGTCAGCCTCTGCAACCACTCCCTCCTGCCCCAGGAGTTTGGCTTCGTCGGGCTCCCCAAGGTGCCTCGTGTGGTCAGAGCGGGAGGTTTGGGGCATGGGCTGCTGCCCAGGGTCCAGGCGCCTGAGCCACTCCCGGACTCCACACTCACCTCCAGGCACCTCGGCCGGGGCGCCTCTCTGGCCATCCCTCTCCTCATGCCCGCGGCCCCATTCCCACCTCACGCTGCCTCTCTTGCCCTCTGTCCGCCCGCTGCACCCTCAGGATCCAGAGTCCTCTCCCCGCCCTTCTTTCCGGGACTCTTGCCTGCCTGGCCCTGCAGGGCGGCCAAGACGAGGCCCAGGCCTGGCTGTCCTCACTCCTCCGGGGCCCCCGCTGCCCGCTCACGTACATGCGGACACAGTCACAGACACACACACACATGTGTACATGTGCCTGCATACACACACTCATATCCACACATGCTCACATGCATGCAGACGCACACTCGCACGTATACACACTCACATACACAGGTGCTCACATGCAGGCAGACACACACACACATGCACGCACACCACCCTCTCACACACCTGCACACATGATCACATACACAGGGGCTCACACCCATGTAGCACACTTACATGCATCTTACATGCATGTAGCCACACACGTGTCCACACTCGCTCACACACTGCTGCACCCCGGCCACACGCATGTCCGTGCCGGCTCCCTGCGGCCCTCCCCAGCAGGTCACTGAGTTTTCGCTTTGGCATCCATGGTCTTCCGTTTGCCAGTTTGTGGACATCCAGCCCAATGATGGGTTCGGGACAATCCTGCCGCTGGAAACTCTGCAACTCGACGTAATCTTTCAGCCCACCAAGGCCAAGGAGTACAACTTCGAGCTCGTCTGCAAGTCAGAGATTAACCGGTGAGCTTGGCAGGAGGGGGGCACATGGAGGGCCCTGGCAGCCAGCTTGGGAGGAGCCGCCCCTGGCCGTCCAGGCTGGGCAACAGTGCCGGCCTCAGGAAGCTTAGACCCAGGTCCGTACGCCTGGGATCCAGGCTGCCTTGCAGGCATGTGTGCTGTGCACATGTGTGAGTGCACCTGTGGGCGTGTATGAGTGTGCAGAGCATCCCCTGGGCATGAGCCCCGCTTGCCCTCACGCACCGTGTGATGGGCCAGTCTCTGGACCTCCCTGGCCTCCGTGTCTACCCTGAGAACTGGGGCTAAGAAGGCGCTGGGGAGGGAGAAATGGACTGGGCGTGGAGGGGGTCTGGCACAAGGGCCGGCTCTTGCTACTTGGGATCAGCAGCCTCTGGTCTGGAATGTGGTGGGCGTCCCGCCCCCGAGGAACCAGCCCTCCTGCCCCTCTCCTTCCCTTCCCCTCCAGTCCCCACCCCCATTCCAGCCCAAGCTGTTGTCTGGTCCTGGCTGGGGGCCTGGGCAGCCCTGGGTAAGGTCGGGCTGACGCCCTCCTCCAGCCGGGCACGTGGCCATGGCGGGACAGGCGGGCCCAGGATCTGACACACCTGAGGGAAAGCAGGAAAGGGTTCACGGTCGTGATCTTTGGGAGCAAAGTGCAGAGTTAGAACCCGTGGAGGAAACCAGGCACCAGACTCTGCCACCCTGCTGCGTCCCACTGCCCGCCCCTCCCCTCAGACTTAGTGACCCGTCCGTGGGCTGGGACCCTTCTGGGCTTGTTCACAATGCTGTCAGCCTCTGGAAAACAAACCCCAGGAAAAGAGGGGATTGTGAGATAACCTCAGTGCTCAGGACCTATGGTAGAAGCTCCGTAGATGTTTGCTGATTGAATGTGCGTTTAGTGTTTCTTCAAGAACTATCTACGTATAAATTGAAACTGCCAAAAACTCAGCCAGGAGCCGTCTTGGGGAGGCTAGGAAAGCTCGAACTGTGAGACCTCAGGGATTAAAGCAGGGCGTGCGGAGCCCAGAGGAGATAGATAAATAAATAGATAAATATTTAGGCTTTTTTTTTTTTTTTTTTGCGGTACGCAGGCCTCTCACTGCTGTGGCCTCTGCCGTTGCGGAGCACAGGCTCCGGACGCGCAGGCTCAGCGGCCATGGCTCACGGGCCCAGCCGCTCTGCGGCATGTGGGATCTTCCCGGACCGGGGCACGAACCCACATCCCCTGCATCGGCAGGCGGACTCTCAACCACTGCGCCACCAGGGAAGCCCCCCCAAAATTTTTTTAAACATGACAGAAAAGGAAACAAAAATGGGCAATAAATAAATAAATATATTTTTTCTTTTTTTTTTCCCTAGGAAGGCTTTATTTTTCTGCCAGGCAGAAGGGAAGACACAGCAGGCTAGCGCCTCAAGAACAGTGTCCCCCCTCCTTCGCAAAACAGTCACACCTGGCATCAGGCAGCCCCCGTAATTGGGTCTTTTTGTCTCTGGGTTATTGGCCTGTGACTTTTTTTCTGAAATGCAAATTCTACAAGGGGTGATTTGCTACAAGGGAGTGCAGGATGTACTTCACATAGTGTTATAGAGTAATAGGTTAGCTTTGTGAAGTACAAATCTAGTTACAGACACTACAGATTAGTAACAGTTAAAAAAAAAAGAGGAGTGATGAACTCTTTCAGGCCAGGTTATGTTTCTTCTCTAGCCTGTTCGCTGTTCCCTTTATTTTCCTTGTTCTCAGGAGAGGGAAAACTTCATTTCTATTTTTGCTGCAAACTAATTCCCCACTGCTAGTTCATTCTCTCCATATCAATGGAGGAAGGGAAACAGGCATCGTTCTTGTCTGGCTGAGGACAAAACTTCAGTTTTGCTCCACTTGACAAACACCAGCTGTCCGGCCCAGGGGCCCATCTATCTCCTATTTACAATCCCCCTCCCCCCCGCTGAGAGACATGAACCCCAAGAAATCTTTATTAGGAGGATGAGGGATGACGGCCTGTCTTCTGTAGCTTCTTCAGGCTGTCAAGGGGCTCGTAGACCCTACTTAGCTGGGGTCATGGAGCTCTCGCCCTGTCTAATTAAGGGCCCCAGGGTGACTTCTGCTGTTGTTTTGGCAGGATCTGTTCTGAGAAATGGCTGGAATCTTTGCATCATCATTATCTTGATGTAAACCTTTTGTAATCTGATAAGGGTCCTTCCATCCAGTTTGGAGATAGTCCTTTAAATTATGTCTTTTCCAGTATGTATATAATGCCCTGGTTGTAGGTCGTGGGGCATCTGATCAGATCTAGGTGAATTCCTCCCTTTCCAAGTTCCCGAAAATACCTTGAGATTTCTGTACCTGTTAGTGAGGTAGCCTTCTAATTTACCTGATAAAGCTGCTGGGGACCCAACAGTTTCCAGGCTCCTAGGTGCTGACGGGTGTGTCGCGACTTCCGTACGCCCTCTTCCTGGTCCTCCAATATTTAGTGTTTTCTCGGAGTGGAAGTCCAGGCCGGCACGGGCAAGAGAAGAGAAGGTGTCCTTGAGGCAAAAGAAGCCTCGGCAGCTGCTAGGTCAGCCTCTCCCCCATTCTCCACCGCAGCCTCGGAGTTGCGCAGCCGAGTCAGGCACAGCCCTGTGGCAGGGAGTCCGTGGCAATCTGGACTCAGAGATATCCTCCAACCCTCCGCTCTCCTGAAGGAGGCTGGCATGGAGAGAGATTCCCGAGCTTCCGATCAAGCCAAGGGGCCCTGTGGGGCCCAATAAATATATTTTTAAATGCAAAAAATTTTTTTTAAGTTTAAAAGCTTCCCAAAATGAAAGATGCAGATGGCTTCACTGATGAGTTCTTCCAAACATTTAAAGAAAAAATGATGCCAATTTGACATAAATTTTCCAGAGAGAACAGGAGAAGATGGGAAATCTTGCTGCCCTCAGCCCAGTACTGCTGCTGCTGCTGACAGCGATGACGATGATAATGATGGTGGTGATGGTGATGGTGGTGATGGTGGTGACGGTGATGGTGATGATGGTGATGATGGTGATGATGGTGGTGATGGTGATGGTGGTGATGATGGTGATGATGGTG